CGGACTCTAACAATCGAATTAGAGCTCAAAACTTTCACTAGAAGAGGTTGTTTTGATGCCCAAGTATACTCCAATTGATCATCTCGACATTAAGATGCATGGATATGAGAAAAAAAATGGATTTCAAGTTTTGGAAGTAGTGTATATTTTAACGTATTTTTGGACTGTCAATTTTTTAGATTTTCAAGTTTTCATAGATCTATTGATCTACACTATTTTTGAAGCTTTAAACTTTATCAATAAAGATAAAAATATATTTGAAGGGCATCACAAAGATTTTCACTATTAAAACCACATTTCCCAATACTATTTGAAACTAGGCTCTAATTTGATTGTTTAGAGCCTAGGCTCTATACTAACCGCACCCTTTTTTTTTATAAGATCAATCTACCAGCTAGGTAAGTGTAGTCTCTCTCACACATAGTCCCTGCATAGGAACTCTCTCCTCACTCTCTATCTCTCTCTCTCTCTCTCTCTAAGTTCGTGGATGGAAAATATCCCCCCTATTTGTTATCACTATACAAAATTTGTAGATGAATCATATTATATTGCAATTATATGATACTATAATTAATAACAACTAATATGATTAAATTTAATTATTTATATTATGTTAGTTCTTTATACTTCTTAATTAATATGGTATAATAATTATTACAATAGATATAAAAAATATTAAGAATATTAAATATTATTTTTACAAAACTATGAGTATTATTTTAATTATATAAATAATCATAATTTTAGTTGATATTATAACTCTGTTATAATCACTTATGAATACTTATGTAATTATATTTTAGTAAGTATAAGATTACAATTATTTGTTTCATGTACATTTCTTTATTTTTTAAGGGATTGTTTAGTATTACAAGCCATGGCTTTCTCTATCATAATTATGATAGGATTTTAAGATTATAAAAGATTAAACGAAATATTGAAAATCTACATTACAATATTATGTTCACAATTATATATGTTTGTATATAAATATCCATTTTTTACAATATAACTCATCAATAACAATTAATTTATGTGAATTGATATATGTTTTATATTAAGTGTTAGTATTCATTTTTATGAGTTATAGTAATAACTAATTTAAGAACTCAACATACTTATAATTCAATTAATTATAATCACAATAATATCAACGATACGTTATATGTCCTCATTCAGTATAATATTCTTTTTGCTCAACTATAGCATTCATCATTAAAGGTCTATTGCCTATTCTTTATGTACTATAAAAATTCTAAGTTAGTTTGTAAAACTTATAAATCTCCACTCAATCTCTCAGCATGAGTGAGAAATCATTATTTTTATTTTATGTAAAATTTAGTTTAATCTTGTTAGTACATACTACATTTTCGTAACTGAGATTTTGTAAATTCATTTTGCTAAGAAAATATCATTAACATAGATATTACATTATGCATGATGTCTAAATAACACCTGCAATGCAGGTGCATGCTATTAGTCCAAAAAAAACACATTCCCTAGAGAAAATGTTATCCAAAAAAATAATAACACCTCACAATGGAGGAGAATGTCATAAACAAAAAACATCATTACAAATCCACCCTCCCAGCTCTTAACCTTTATACTAATTCTTATGACTCTATTATGCCTTATAATTTTCATTAATGCATGTCATGTATTTATATTTGGATCTAGGGACTTTATTATGCCTTATCATTTTTTTCTTCTTTGTTTATATTTAATTTTAGATCATTGGATTGGATATCTAAATTGATTGACTTAATTTAGTTTGGTAAAATTTTCATGATGCATTAGTTATTGATGGTAATTGTTGCTTATTTATTTTAAAATTTTACATATGCGGTGTTTTTCACTCCAATTTTTTTTTATCCCAATATGATATGTTCACAATATTTTTTATTTATAGTATTTTTTCCAATCCATATTTTCACCACTTTTTTCCATCCGACTTTTGGAGAAAAAGTGATTTAATCCTCGATATTGTAGTGAGTCAATACATTATTATTCTTCAGCTTGTTGACTATGGTCAAAACTAATGTTTGGTCCGTTTTCATTGGTCTAAACAAATACCAATTTTGACGAGTTTAATTGGCTAAATAAATGTGAGCAAACTTTTCAATATATTTCATATTTTAATCTATTATTTCTATTTATTTTTTATTTTTTAAAAAAATCAATCCAATTGATTCAATCAACAGTCATATTGCTTTGACTAGACCAAACCTCTAATTGCATTGTTGGTGACCAATTCCAATCTGGATAATGCTAATTTAAATGACACTTGTACAAGATTCACCAAGTTTAGTGGCTGGAAAATACAAAGATAGCAAGGAGTCTAATCCAAAATTGAAGATTAACATTTCCCTTTTTACTATTTTATTGTGCAGGTATTAAAACTTCCAATTAGAAGTAGAACATGTGGCACTCCATTAGATGATACAAGGAAATGTATATAATGAGATCATTTGATACAAGGCCACAATTATATAAGTGACTGTTAGATTTGAAATTGGGTGGTTGCGGATGTGCTATTGTTGAGACACAAAGTCCCAAACAAAATTTATCGAATGTTGTGACACACTTTTATTTATTAGATTTTACATCCAATGATTAAAAATGATTGTGACCTCTTCTACTAAAAATAAATGATTTCGTAGTATACAATCCCAAAACAAAATCATCTACAGACCTAAGAGTCTTTCCTATTTGCTACACTATTTTATCCACATACTAGGATGATTATTCCAAATAGGTTGTTACAATTTTATTGTATTTTACAAATATCATAACTTTTTATTGATAGATCGGACTACCCAAACGGCATTACAACAATTGAGATAGAAAGATAGGGTAAAGATGCGCTCCTCAAGCCCTCAGCTAGACTGTTAGTTTCCCTAAAAACATGCTGAAAAGTAGTAGCATAACCTATCATCATGTCAAGGATTTGAAGCCATAGACATTTAAATTCCCAAGAAACCCTTATCTCCTTTTTACACCACTTTATAGCATTTTGTGAATCTCCTTCAATAATACATGGTCTACCCCCAAAATTGATTACAATAAGTTTAAAACCTTATAGGAGAGCTTCCATTTCAGCAAAGTTAGCCGATGCTTCACCAATGGGACTTGCATATGAGAGAAGAACGAGACCACTGGAGTCTTGAATCACACCCCCAATACCAGCTAAACCAAGATTACCCTGTGAGCTCCCATCAAAATTTAACTTAAGCACATCACAAGCAAGTGGATGCCAAACACACCTTGGCCTGATCCGAACAAGGCCTAATGAGATTAAGTTATGAAGGTGAATCATAACATCAACCTCAGATATGCCCCATCTAGCCTTCGTAACAGTCAACCGACACCACAAATAATGCTTGAATTTGGATATGAGTCTTTTAAAAGGGAGGCAATCCCCTTCAAAGGTACACCTATTACGCTCCAACCAAATTTATCACATGATAATACCTCAGGAAATCTTCCATATGGCTGTCCCAATCTCTAGCAAGCTTGGAATGGAGAGATTTGTTACAATACCTAACTCATCTTGAGGCAAAGGATAGCAATACCCAACAACACAAAAAACCAATGCCTGATCCTAGCAGCAAAATGGTAGGGAAGAAAGACAGCCCTAGATTCAGCATCTTCCTTGCACACCAAACATACGTTTGGAAGAACTTTACCTCTTTTAATCAGGTTATCAACAGTTAGGATCTTATCTTGGACCGCTAACTAGATGAAAATATGAACTTTGTGAGGTATTGGCCATTTCATGATCTGTGCCAACTGCGGCATTGCCCACCTCCATCTGTCATGAAAGAGGAACCAATAGCATGATTTGACTAAAAAATTACATCACTTCTCTCTTCCCAAATGACCTAATCATTCGAGTTTTGTGGGATATAAACCCCTTTTAACAGGTCTAATAAATTACTGAGTTGATTAATTAGATCATCGCTCAACCTGTTATATGGCAAGCTCATGTTCCAAAACGCATGGTTTCCCCTTCCTTCACAGATTTCAACAACTTTAGCTTTTAGATCGGAAACCTTCTCAAATAAGTCAAGATACAAGAGTTTCAAAGAGCAGTCCCCAACCAATTTATGGTGCGAAAAGATACATGATCAGCATTACCAACTATCCATCTGATACTTCTGTCAATAAAAGGTTTACAAAGAGCAATAGGTCTCCAAAAAGTAAACGCAAACCCTCCGCTGCCAAATCCCAACCACATACCATGTCTATCAACCTCATATTTAGCAGCCAACACTTTAAACATCCTTACAAACCATAACTAAGTTATCTTTGAGTTAGATCCCTCGTAAAATCTCTCTGTCTTTGATCTTCTAAATTTTCCAAAAAAAGGTTAAAGAGGTTAAGTTATCTTTGAGTTAGATCCCTCGTAAAATCTCTGTCTTTGATCTTCTAAATTTTCTAAACAAAGGTTAAAGAGGTTAAAGAGAGTTCAACACACAACAAATATTGAAATATTGAATCATGGCAAGTGATAAATTCTAAATCTCAACTTTATCAACTTATACCATATCTCTTCGTGATTTCCTAACTTTTTTAGAGCGAGGGGTGGGGAGAGAGGTGATTGAGAGAGTTCTACGCATGAGAGTAAGTCCTACATCATGGCAACTTGAATATAGAGAGATTGAATTATAGGAATTGATAAACTCTATATGTCAATTTCCTAAACCTCATCTACCAAAAAATATATATATTTTATAAAGAAACTATTTATCTTTTGTATATAAAAATCATAATTATTCTCACTCATTAGATGTCAAATTGGACAGCTTTACGTGAGTCACAAAGTTGGAGATTTTTTTTTTTTTTTGAACTTTGTGTCTATCCAATGACACTCTTACGACCACCCATTTTGAAATTTAAGGGACAAAAATGATTGTGACCTCCATGTACAAAAGATAAGTGGTCTCTTTGTAGAAAATCCAATAAAAAAACTTCTTAAACCTCTCTAAAGAAAACAATATTATGCAAAAAAATTTGAAAACAAGCCCACATGACCTATATAAACAAATAAATCCTAAAAATTTGCCATTATGCATATAAGAGTGATTTTAGGGCCATTTGTTTGGTCTTATTTTTAAACATAAACTTTATCTATTTCCTAAAACCTCTTTAAAAAAAATAACATTTTTCCAAACAAAAATGAAAAAAGACCCACTCGAACTCTAAAATATATTTTAAACCCGCTTAAGTAGGCTTTAGGAAGATTTTTTTTTTTTTCAAAAATTTTTAGATGGGTTTGTTATCATTAGAAAAACAAAGTTAGAAAATAAAAAATTAATTTTGAATTCCTAAAAGCCTAAATCTTAAAATTCACCAAATTGACGATCTAGATTCATTGTTGGAGGGAGACTCATTTTAACCCATATCTAATGTATAAACTAATTTATTTATTTTTAATTACTGGGATAAAGAGAATACCTATGCAAAATTTGGGATCATATATAAATTTCTAGAAGTGTGATTGCATTATATTATAATGACACAGCGATATGAAATCATTTTCCTTATACATATTATATTATTATGACCCCCTTTATTTTTTTAATAATTTAACATGAGTTCTTTCGAGTATATTCCCTCTTCAAGAAGCCACGCCTCATTGTGAAGTGCTCTTGAGTTTTCCATTAGAGATAGGGTTTATGGTTTATTTAGGAATAGGTAATTGTAAGAGAATTGTTTTAGTAGGGAGAGATTTGGTGGTATTTGGTTGACAGGAGGAACTACACATGTGGTTCATATATGAACAATGGAGTGGATCAACTTACGAGCATTTGTTAATGGAAGAATGAATTCAATAATAAAAATAATATGCCTATTCAATTGTCCGTTACAGCATGCTTACCTTGCTATGCAGTATTAGATTATGAAATTTAGTTTAAAGCCTTTAATATGTTTGTTATTGATTTTTGTATGCTTTTAGATGTCATGCTTGAGTCAGTTTGTTATTTTTAAATATCCTTTAAAATATAAAAATTATGAGAAAATTAAAAACATTATGACCATTTTTAAAAAAAAAATTGTAACAAATAATAAAATTTTCTTAATTTTTCCTTTTTATTATAATTTCTCTTCCCCTCTATTACAATTAAGAATTACTCTCTAAGGGGTGCTTCATTGTTCGTTGAATATTTGGTCAACCTTCTACCTATCGCAGATTTAGGTGCAACCAGAGAATTCAGGAGAGAGACTTGAATTATAGTTTAGAAACGTTGTTTTTTTGAATTCTTGCAAATTATGTAGAGCCATCAAAACTAGGTTTGTTAGCTACCTTTTAATTTCGAATCAATTCATCAATTTTTTCAGAAATATTTATATTTTTTCTTTTTTGTTCCACAAAAAAGAACGAAGATTTCTAAAAAAAACTTATGAATGATTCAAAATTAAAAGGCAACTAACAATCTTAGCTTCAATGACTCCACAACATTCACAAGAATTCAAGAAAACAATGTACTAAACAACCAGTCGCTGTATAAATGCTACCTACAAGTTACAAACTCTATTAATAATACCCAACCCCTTCAATAATACCCTATCAAATTGTTTCTCAACTTCAACCTTTGCAACTTTAGCAATCCTAATCAATCTTGAATACCCATCATTCACGACTAGTTTCACGACTAGTTTAATGTCAAAATAAAATTATAAACAGCCTCCAAGAATACATCAAGCCCTAGGTTTCTATCCATAGCTTCCACAACAAATAGAGGCCCCATGGTTCACCTCGCCACCCAAAATTTCATAGTTCATCTCACCATCTAGGGTTTCGTCATCTTTTTTAAAATCTAACCTCTCCTCAATATCTCCAAGAAAAAAGGTCCCAATTTCCTCAACTCCTTCGGTCCTTCCTAATGTTCTTTATATAAAAAATTAGCTCACTTGCAAGATCTCATTTTTTATCATAGATCCAACTATGGAATTAAAAAAGTATGATTTAAAAGAAGAAGCAGCAGACATACCCATAATCAAGCTTTTTTCATGTGGCTCTTCATCAAAAATAAAATCACACAAAAGATCAACAAAGGATGATTCAATCTGAAAATCAAATTATATACCTCTATCATCAAATGCAAAGACATTTTGTCTCTCTTGATTATGAAGTTGATTGAAATCCGATGCATCTTACCCATCACTATGATTGGAATCAGATCCACAATTGTCATGAATGATTGAGCTTCGAGCAGATGGGCCGCTCTACTTGAGGTGTCAATTGCCCCAATGCTCATTAAATTCTCAAAATTTTTCACCTTGGCCACAATCACCATGTCTTCCATAGCGTAAAATACAGTAAAAAGTAATTTACCCTGCGAAATCCATTTCTCTTGAACTATAAGGTAAGTATGACAATAAGAGGGTAATCAAGATGGACAAATGTACAATACATTTAATTGAAACAAAATGTACAATACATTATGGGGAGCCAAGCCCAAACTGAACGATGATGGAGCCACAAACCAATCTATCGTGTGACTCTGATCAGATTAGGGTTATGGGAGCATGAATTGAGGTAGGCCACACTGATGCAACATCCAAAAACTCTTTCAACAAGCATGACAATTGTTCCCCCTTGCCAAATCTACAAGTTGAGTATCAATTAGTAATGCAACTCTCTCTCTCTCTCGTGTGCCAGTCACATTTGGAAGTCACATGTTGCATAGCTGAAGTTCACCTAAAATTCCCATTTTATCCCTTTGAAAGTTAAGTAAAATTTGATTCCGACAAAAATTTCATTTTGGAATTTCAGACTCCACCTTCTGACAAAATTTCATTTTGGAATTCCAATCTCCACCTTGGCCAGGACCATTAAAGAATTCTAAATAGTGAACATCAGTCAAAACCACGTAGAAGTAAATGTTTTTGGAAGTTTGTCGAGTCAGCTGTAGGCTGATTCTGGAAAGCTCAGTAAAAAGATCAGCTGTAGGTTGATACTGGAAAGATCAGCCAAAAGAAAAAGATTAATAAACTTTGGCAAAAGCAAAATAGTAATGGTTGGGTACCAACCATCTCGAATTTTGAGGAAATCAGTTACCACCACTATCAACCTTCCATAACAACATCCATCCCATCTTGAGAGGAATTGATGGATGCCACCAAATCTTCAATCCTCAGAGGAGAACGCCTTGCCAAATATTGGAAAAGAACCTGAGGGAATTATCCAACACAAACTCATGTATCTCACATTAAGCTTTGGCCATTAAACAAAGGAATTAACAATTCCCCTTCCATGCAGCTTCAAAAAAAAAAATTTAACATCTTCAAAACAATTTCCTTTCCATTTGTACTTCATTTTTATTGGTGGAACCAATTTTCTATAGAAAAAAATAATTCCTTGATGAATATAGAGGAATGCAGCAGTATGTGAATATGGGTAAGCATAATAAAAAACAAAATGCAGAACAAAGTTTAATCTACAAACCTTATTGTAGCTATCTGCAGATACACGAGCACGATTGGCTTTCCCAATGTAATTTGTATCAGCCATATCAAGCTTTCCATCAAATATATTCAAGCCTCCATCACCAATAGCAAAACGTAAAAGGGCACCTGGTTGTAAATTTTTCTACAAAATATATATGAACCATTAATGTGCAAATAAGATTGAGGTTGCTGCAGAACTTGCTGAATAAGTTTAGATATAACTGGCACATACACAGAAAACATGGGCCCGTACTCCCTTGATTAGATAATGTTTCTAGAACCAGTTCATGGTGACTGTCAATATGCAACCAAGAAATATAAAGCACAATTATCAAAGTTCTCTTTGTAATGCTATTGCCATCAAAGTGTCCAGCTAGATGCCATGTGTCTAACATGCTTGATAGCATAAAGTAATATGGAAACAATACCCTAGCAAGGGACCCATTGAGGAGAGGTTCTCAAAGAAGGACTAGCCAGATTAAATACCAATCAGTGCAGAAACTGGACAGTGCGGTCTAATGTAGAAGGGCCCACGCAAGAACAAAATAATGTCAATAGGAAACATAAAACAAAATAAAAAAGTACAGCAAAAAAAACACAGAAGATCACCAAAGAAGTTTTACTCATTAACAGTAAACCTAGAGGACCACATGGAGGGTACAATTGTCATCTTCGCAGTGTAAGTGGCAGTATCATTGTCTTTATTAGTCAAGCTCAATTGTGTTCACCCTACTCTTTATGAGCTGTGATCCCTTTTTTTCTTCCAAAGCATCTGTAAAAATAAGAGGTCACAAGCTTCACATGTATGAATTCTTCGTTCTATCCAAACCCTTTAGTCCCTCCTAAGTTTGTTTATCCATTTTTAATGCTAGTTCTTTTCATTGTGATTTCTTTTTGTTTTTACATGCTTGACCTTTGAATGGGTCTGAGATATTCTCTGCCCCAACTAAGTCAAATGCATGTCTCAGGCACCAGCATCTTCTGCATATCTAACAGAGATACATCCAGTTCTGAAATCCACAAAACCTTCAAACTGTAATCAGAACCTTGTATCAATTACTGGAGCTTATTCTAAAAGATTCGAGGGCTACCTTGATCAAGTAAGCCTTCTCCAAACATTTTAAGATGTCTAGGCTTCTCTGACACGTGCTCCTAAGTTGATTTTTCAGTAGATACACAAATGAATAAGATTCTCATCAGAAGAGGCCCATAATCGTGACAGAAGTATAGAACAATATCCACAAAATGATTAGAAAGGAATGATTCACAAGATGAAGGATGCTATAAAGGGAAGCAAGTGAAGTTTCATTAACATGATTAGAACCATGTTATTCCTTTACATGCTTGAGCTTTCAATGGGACTGTTTGATTCTTCTATGCCCCAACTAAGTCAAATGCATATCTCAGGAGCACCATCATCTTACACGTATGTGACAGAGATACAGCCACTTCTGAAATCCACAAAACCTTCAGACCATAATCAGTACCTTGCATCAACCACCAGCACTTACTTTTAACACATTCACAGGCTACCTAGATCAAGTACGATTTTCCCAAGCCTTGTAAGATGCCTAGGGCTAGTCCAGGACATACTGTTAAGAAAAGGAATAAAATGATTCTCATAAGCAGAGGCCTATACTTGTGAAAAAGGCAAAGAAGAATATTCAAAAGATGATGCGAAAGGAATTGTTCACAAAACCAAGGATGATATGAAGGAAGAAATGTAAAGTTTCAGTAACTGTACAGAGATTTTGTCATTGACTAAATGTAGAGGAATCACACAAATTCCAGAAATTCCAGGTCTCCAGTGAACCGTGCACTATAGTTTCCTATAGAGTTTAATAATAAGTACATGAAGCATGTAGCTGTCCTGTAGCTAAGTAAAGTCTTAATTAACAGGACAATTCCAAACCAAAACTTCTGGATTCATAACACAATAGAACCATATGTTAACAAAGTGAATGTTGATGAACACAAAATTCAGATTTATCACATAGTTGATCACAATTGCTTCATTTCCTCTCAGTGGAATGAAATGTTGGAAGCACGGTTGCTTAGCTATTCAAGACAGAGAGAGAGAGAGAGAGAGAGAGAGAGAGAGATTCATCACCACTAATTTATTTTGAATTTCCATACATTCAGGATAGAGAGAGGGAGAGAGATTCATCACCACTAATTTGTGATAATTCACTGTTCCAATAAAACTAATCCTAATAATGAATTCTTTTATTGTTAGCAGTGTTCATCATAAAGTTCTCTAAGATAATTTATAGGCAGTTTTACATATAAGTTTAACTTTTTAATTTTTACTTTATTCAAAGAAATTTGCTAAAATTACATTTTCTAGCTAAAAAATAGCTGCCAAAAACAATTAATTAAAATATATTGTATATGATAAGAGATATGTACCAATTGATGCAGTATAAAGTCTAGGTGTCATTAATAAAACCGAAAAACAAGGCGATTTCAATGCAACTCAAGAGATAGCACTTGCTTAAACAATGCAAGTATACAATTACATCACCATGAATCGACCTTACAAGCACTTGAGGACTTAAAAACTACTGAAATAAAAACTCTAAACAGTCCCCTTATAGGGCAATTACATATCACTTGAACAAGCTCAAAATTTACACCATTGAATTACATACATTGCTCAAACACCTTCATACAATCAAATTACATATGACAACTGTAACGACTGAGATAACAGTAAATAAAAACCACTAAATAGATATATTAAAATGCCAAACTAAGTGGGGAAGACAACAGTTCCAACCCCTTGTGCTCGGGCCACAAATTCGAGCCTTTTAGGGAATTAATTTTGTCGCAATGAATAGTGCAAGAGTGGTTTATAATCTCAAGGGTGTCTAATCCAATTAGGAAGCTCTACTACTTTTAAAACCACTTCTTAGAGTCCACAAAATCGATTTAAAACAGTTTGCAAGAAGAATGGAGCAAATCGGATCAATATGGAGCAAGATAAAGCAAAACTACATGTGGTGGTCCACTGGTCCACCACAACAACTTCTCATGCAAAGTTCCAACTCTAAATGAGAAAATACACTTCTAAGAGGAACTAAATATCTTTGGAATTTAAATAACAATACTCAGAAATGCTCAAGAGAATTCGTACAAGGTAGATCAAAGGAAACTATGCATGATCAAAGGTTTATCAATGCATAAAATACATAAGCAAGTGAAGGATCACACTATGTAAGAATGACATGAAGATAATATCAAAATGGAGGTCTAAGGAGGCTAAAATATGATTGTCGATGAAATTTCTAGGAACCTTTAATCAAGGATAAAATGATCTTTGACATAAAATAACTTAGGGAGATAATACCTTGATCATAGTATGAGATAAGCTTGATCTTATGGAGTGAAGGACCACCATCAAGCTTCAAAGATCATCAATGGGGGATGGGAACTCTCAAAGGGAAATGGTCTCTCTCTCATTCTCTCTCTATTCAATTCAAGCAAGATCCATTTTTTCAAGTGGGTAGGGTTTGGGACTTAAAGAAGTACATATACATAGTGTGTACGATTGGATATCATCAACGCCCAGATTGGATACCATCAACACCCTTGATGCACTTATCCAATGGCACATGAGAGGCTATTATACCTTATCCACCCATCCCCATCCAACCACTAGGATGCAGGGTTGGGATTTAGCACCCTTATCTTTCACATTAAACCCTAAGTAAAGCCACTTTACCTTTTTGTCCTTAGGCCTATATTTTTATTTCAAGTGAGTCTAACTTGCTCTTACACAAAAGCCCTTAGTTTTAAATAATCAAATAGTTTAGAAATCCATCAAGGGCAATGGGCAATAAAATAAATGGTAAAACTCACACATGTAAAAAAGTACACCTTTTATGAAAGTCAATCACCTTATAGATCTAATATTTCAAACCAATTACAATGAGCTTAATGTCCCATTCACACGTGTGAACATATTTTTGAAGTTCAAATTCAAAAATTAAATTTTCATGGATTCAATATTTAAATTAAATTAAAATGGACCTCACACATGCCAACAAAGGCACTTGAGTGAATCAAATAAACATGTGATAAAATAACATTTAAGTCATAACATAATATAACACCTTAAATAACAATACATAACATAAGGTGTTAAATAAAACCAACACCAAAATCCCAACAAAGTCCCCATGCATGGGGATCAGTGCTGAAGTGGGCGGTGATCTGTGTGGGGCCCTTGGGGTGCCATGTGGCCACCCGAGTGCCACGTAGCATCCCCAAGGATGTCCTCATATGGTATTTTGGCCGAACAAATTTTGAAAACCAATTTTTCATGATTAAAAAAAATCTTGAAAAATTCTTCAAAAATAATAATTATTATTTATAGTATTTATAAACATTTATTTATCCTTTTTCATCATAATTAAATTGGACACAGGGTAAGTGAGATCTCATGGCCCCGACTCTAGGTATCGAAGTACTCCATTGGGCTAGCCTCGAATGATGTTCCATCAGTGTCTCAAGTTGACCCAATGGACCTATATTCCACAATCTATGGCAGAGACACATAATTGGTCACATCCAAGTCATTGAGCCAGAGCTTCCCATCATCCGGCTCTCAATGGATTACAAGTGCATCCCAGTGGGACATATTCCAATACAAGTACAAGGGTCCTCTCAAGCACATGTGCACTGACTCTTTCAAACTCGGATAAAGGGTTTGGAAGAGGCTTCCCATGCGAACGTTAATGCACATGCCATGGAATGGTCTCGTGTCAGAATACGGACTTATATCCTATGTCATGACCATCCCATACAGGGCCATTACTCAAAATAAATACTCGGGTTCTATTGAACTCGATTGGATACTCCAAGCCCTAGCTAATCACAACAATTATGAAGCTAATATAAACAAGATCCTGACTAGGAAGTGACCCTCATACCTCCTTGAGAAATTGCTTTCTCGAATGTAAAACTCTCATAGCCTCAAGTACTCGGGGTATCAGAATCTGGGCCCCATTTCGCAAAGCACCTAGATTCTATCTCTCAATCACTCCCACTGAATGAGAGACTATTGGTATTCAGGCCTTGAAGGCCATATACCCAACACCAAATAGCTAACAAAATAATATTATCAAGATCATATTATTTTTAGAAAAGATAGTCTATTCCACATAAAATTAAGTGTCATCCAAACATAACCTTTATTTTTATGGGTATTCAGAAAAAAAATTGAATACATCGGGGGTATTCTTAAAATTTACCAATATATAACATTTAACAATACATGATTTTCTTTGCTTAGGTTTACGGCCTGAAGCTAAAGACTTCGGTTGTTTCAGCCAAAGCATGCCAATCTAATAACATTGGTAAAAAGTACACCAAGAATACCTGCTGTAGAAAGTCCCTGTCCAAGCAACTAAAAACAACAGATGGATCATCCGAGCTCCCTACTTTCCCATCTTCTTTTAGCTCCAACACAACCTGATTCAAACAAAAAAAATATCAGGGTACAACTTGTAGTACATATTTGGTAGTACAGGCAAAGTAGGAAGCTACAAATGAAGCATGTGTTATTAGCTGCAGATTAGCCTTCAAAATCCTATTGAAATAACAATCCTAAGAAACTTAGTGGCAAAGGAATATCCAGAGGCATGACAAAATATTTAACTAGAAAACATTTAACAGAACCTCTATAGTTTTAAGTTTTTAACTAAAACCATGCATATAAATTTTTAGCAATTTCAAATAAAAGCCAATTTTTCAAGGAGTACAAGTAAATTTGATTGTCCTCTTTTTCCCTTTATAAGGATTCCATACTCTTTTATAAGGCAAACACCTTCCTTAACATTTACTAAAACTGTAATTGACCTAGAAACTATCACAATCAACAAATACACCAAAGCCATTACGCTTGTTCGGTATACAAAGTTCTCAGAAAGTCATGGAATGGTGAAGGGATCAACCATTTACAGTTTACAATTTACACTGCATTATTGATACTCCGTTAGTTTTAGCATGAAGCCTCTGGTTGGGAAGCTTTTTTCAAGGTTGATGCTTTCACTTTTATCAAATCACAATGAATGAGCATACCTGCTGCTGAGCAGGAATAACCCCATTGCTGTCTGTATCAAGAAAATACTGGCTGCAATTCATATCCTTCCAGACCAATGCCAGAGGAGTAATTCCAGTATGATAATGAGCATGCCTGCAGAAACAAAAAACAAAAATTCTAGTAAGGTTTCCACTGGAAATAAAAGAAGAGATAGAGAAGATAATTATTGAAGCTTAAAACAATTACTTTTGTTCGAAAACATTCAATCAAACTTGCCAGTGAGCATTAATTACAAACTTAGTTCCAAATTCAACAGATTTTGGGGCTAGCATTAATTATTGACTAAATGTCCAGAACTCCATACATAGTAGATAGCTGATTATTCTAAAGACTGAAAAGTGTGTATGGTTTGTAATGTAGCAACAGTATGCAAAAGATATCTTTTGTTTTTAGGATAGAAGTAATTACAAATATATGTAACCAAGAATAAACAGGAATTTGCAAGATAGATTACATATTTTCTGGATTTTAAGATGAGACTTTTTTACTAACAAATATAATATACAGGAGTGTCCAAATTCCTATTTTCTTTGGACAAGATTAACATCGTATGGATGACTCTGACAGAGGAAAGCTATTTACTGTTGTGGCAGCTTGGGCTTCCACAGGTAGGGACAAGTCACAAATATAACTCAAAAAATATTTAATGCAACACATGCAGGCTAGGCATAGTCAGACTGGTCAGCAACAGAGCTTCATGCAACAAAGCATATGAATGCACCAATAATGAGGCATCAAATTAGCATGAATAAAATCACGAGGACTAATAGTGCTTTGCAGCAGGATTATTACCTTGCTCCATTATTAATATAGTCGCATGTATGTATATCACAGAGAATATCTTATGGAAACCATATTTGGTCTGTTTATGAATATAGGAAACTTTCGAGGCAGGATAATGTTTGAGCCCGTTTATTACAATCAAGTCAAATATGAGAAACCATTGTAATGTGTGAACTTTCCATTTAAATGATGGGGACGAGAATTATAATCCAGCAAACTATGAAAAACCATTGTAAATTGTGTGATCGCTTATTCATTTAAATGATGTGGGTGAGAGATAGAGAGAGAGAGAGAGAGAGAAAGACCACAAATTGGCATCGCCCTAATGCAGGGTCCTACTCTCTCTCTCTCTCTCTCTCATTCAGTGGACAGTAATGACATAATAGAATGGTTTTTTCATAATCCACAGGATTACAGTACGCTATCCCATAATGTCAAATGATTTTCCACATCTTCAAATGAAAGCACATGATCAAAATTGATAGCATATATGACAACTAAAAGATTATGAATTCATGGAACTGCAAAAAGCAACTCAATTCAGCAACATCAGTTGAAATGAAAAGCCCAAACTCTTGTGAAAAGTATGCTTATATGTTTCTAAAACAACCATATAAATAAAAGTATGGACAATAAGCTACACTTGGTACGAGTGTAGGATTGAGGTGCTCGTACCCAATACCCACATTCTGTAATTACCCTCAGGCCGTGGAGATGAATATCTATTCTCACTTAAAACAGGGGCAGCCTTAAAAAAGGAAAACAACTCATCACGCACCTTCTTAGGATAAAAGTGGATGGTACAAGATGAGTATGACTACCAACACACTACATGTACAAAGTATACCTTCTCACAAAAGTATGCTCCCACAGAGTAACAAGGGGAAGAATTAAAAGGAAGGAGTCTCACTTATTATAAAACAGTAGTCCATCTTTGCTAAAGGGAGAATTTCCCTCATATGCTGCCTGCAGTCCCATCTGATCACAATGGTAGACTGGAACAAGACTGAATCGGTACTTGTGATAGAATGAAGGAGTGTCACAGGCTCCAGTCTCAGTAAGCTTAGAGTTGACCCAAAAAAATCTGAACTCAGAGCTGCAGTCATATAGTGAATATCCTTTCCAGCAAATCATGTCGATCACGTAGTAAGTTTGATCTGGCTACAAGAAAGAGAAAAGCCATTCCACAATGAGAAAGCAAAAGTAATAGAATAGAAGACAGATAAAAAAAATTCAAGCATTAGATATCCTCCTTTTTTTTTTATAATGAAGCATCTAGATATCCTCTTATAAGCATCCATGAAAGGAAAGATTGTTACCTCATGAAAAATGCAGTCTAGGATGCAGTACATGTGAGCAGGACCAGCAATGTCCTTAATTCTTGCACCATTCGGCAAAGAAGACGGGAAATGGTGTAATATGGAACCATTCCGTAGCCTACTGACTGTCGTTCCATTAGAAGAAACAACAAGGCAACGTTTTCCAGCAGGCCTTGGAAGCACATACCTGCATAGACCAACTTCTCACTTAGAAAAAGGAAGAAAAAAAAAGCAATTATATTATATTTATATATATATATATATCATCATCATCATCAGCAAAACCTTTTCCCAACGAATTGGGGTTGGCTATACGAATCCTGATCTGCCATTCTTATCTTATATTCCAGATTCATGAGAAGTTCTGGTAAAGTTTTACATTGGTTGCCTACCTAACACAACCCACCCCTTTTACCCTGGCTTGGGAGGGGTTAAGCGAAAGTTTAAGGTCCTCACCCTTCTTAGACCAAGGATAGGGATCTAAATGAGATCATGATTTCTAAATTTTGGGATCTTGATAGCACTTTTGGAGATCTCTCCTGGCCACTCAAAGGAGCAACAAGAGACCAATAAGATGATTGATTTGGATCTTATTTGTGGCCATACTCTCCCTCTGTCTCTCTTGTGTTTAGATGTTGTGTAAGTAAATTGTAAATGAAGGAGCTTTGGAGGTTGTCAAGTGTAAAATTGTAAATAAAGAAAACATTATCAATAAAAAATCAGCTCCATTGTATTTTCAGCAGTTTAACTCATGCGCCTTATCATAATATTTTTTTATTGTGGTGTAGTATTTTTTTTACATAAATTACACCTCAAAGAAATATAATTTATTGAATAATTAATGTTTTGTTGAGTATTTTTTGTGCACATTTTTTACTGTATTTTGTGGGATAATCAATTTTTTTGTTTTTAATAAAAATTGTAATTTTTCAATTTTTAAATTTATTAATTACATAATTCTACAGAATTCTTTCCTGACCCAATGGAGCTTCTAGCATGTCACAATCCCACTTCTACTCCACTTGCAACAACTTAGTTTGTATTTTTGGCCAAAAAAGAGGAAAGAGAAGGAGAAGAGAAAAAAAAAGAAGGGGCTTATAGAAGGTACAGTCTATGGATCATAGATGTTTAGGTTTAATATAATTTTTTATTACAGTTATAGTCTATAGCATGTGAACTACAGTTTGGTACTCCCGGGAACAGCCCAAGAGAAAATAGAGCCCACTTTGCCAGGCCAGGGCCCGACCAATGGGCATTAGAAGGGATAGTTCAAATCTGATTTTGACTTTGTATTGGGGATTAAGCATTTCAAGGCTCCATATCCAATTCAAAAAAAAATGACCTCAAAGAGGAGTGTAATGATTTTAGAGCTCTAGTCATTAGTCAACACCCATTCAAAATAAGGGGTATAAGAGATGCCACCCCACGGCTCGGGATGCATCCACAGCAGCATCAAACTATTTTCCATCAGAGTAACGACATCTTAAACTCCAGTACAAAGTAAAAATGCACAAGTAGGCTCTAGCATAAGCTAAAAAGGAGAGAAGAAATTAGATACAAACAAACAACTTGAAAGAATAATCCAAAAATCAATAAAGTAAAGACTACATATAAGAAGAAAAAGGAAACAACATAACAGAGAAGAACGGCCTATTAAATGAATAATGGTATACAACAAATACCACGGACTCCTAGTTTTTTTTTGTTTTTTTTTTTAGAGAAAAAGCTCCAACCTTGTCACTTCTACAACAAAGTGGGTGCTACATTATCATAGCCAACCTTGTAATTATGGTACCATGATGAACCTCCATAATAAAGCAAAACTAGAAACCATTTAAACACAATGCAGGAGACAAAAATATATGCATAATTTTATTTTTTCCAATTAAACATGGTGAAGGACCATAGCACCCCTAATAAAATGTGAAGAACAGCACTTTGGTAAAGCACATTATACCCAATTTGTATTGTAGTGTTTTTGTTTAGATAAGCATATAGACCCACTCACTTGAGTATCTCCAAAGTTTATCATATTGCCCATGACTACAAGGTCATCTACAAGAAGAATAAAAGGACTAGAAATCATTGAAACAAAAGCCATAAAGATCTTAGTGTATTCTAGTCTTTCTTTTGTATTTAACATCATTATATTTCTTTAGATAACCCATCTAGTGAGTCTTTAGTGTATTGATAAAGAGCAATTAGAGCCATCTAGTGGGTGGGTTATCTAAAGCTACTTGTAAAATCAAAGCTATCTGCTTGTAAAATCTAGTGAGTTCAATTTTTAGGGACCTAGATGGGTTGTATTTCTTGTAAAATCTTACTAGATTTAGAGCATAGTTTCAAAAAGCGCTAGGCGGCACCCAGGCGACCATGGGGGTCCAGGCCGCCCAACGCTAGGTGGCCGCCTAGGCGGGCGCCCATAACCTGAGCGGCCCAATTGAAAAAAAAAAGATAGTCTGATTTTGATAATCCATAAGACCATAATCCCAGTTGAAAAAAAAGAAGATAGAAGTTTAGAAGAGAATTTTAATAATCCATAAGACCATAATTCATATTTCCATACAATGCTAAAAGCCTAAAACAGTAAAACCATACAAGCATACATTAATAATCTGATATACTGTAAACTGTACACACAAAAGTTAGATAGTAGAACTAGAAACTAGAAAGTAGAAACTAAAAATAAGAAAAATAAAATATATAAAAATTAAAAAATATACAGACTACGGTCTAGGACACTAGTCAACACTCAACAGTCAGCACTCAACACCAAGAGTCCTCAGTCATTATCATCATCAGAAGGAATAGGGTGAGCCTCATCATATGCATCAGATTTGAGGCCATCATCATCAGAGTCATCTCCCTCTTCAATATAACGCTCGTCCTCCTCCGTTTCTTCAGAATCTGCATCTTCCTCCTCCTCTTCTTCTACCTCCCTCTTACTAGTATGTGCAGATGAGGCTCTAGGAGTCTTGGCTGCTCTATCATTTTCTATCTTTTTGTGCTTCCCTGAACTCAAATATTGTATAATCTCCTCCCTGGTAGCCTCAAGAACATTTTTACACAGGGCAACATCCCCTTTAATACCGGCAATGTGTTTTTTAAACTGGCAAATTTCCCATTAGTATCCTTTCCACAATAATTACATTTAATAAGATTTTTATTATTCGGATTCGGGTTATAACCATACTTCCAACCCGGAGCACCACTTCTAGAAGAACCTGGAGAAGATATTTCTATAGAACAAAGCTCATTTTCATCATTTTCTGGTCCTTTTAAATTCAGAAATTGTATAATCTCAACCCAAATAGCTTCAGAAACTTTTTTACAAGAAGCAACATTCCCTTTAATACCAGCAAGGTGTTTCTTGAATCGGTTAATAGCCCCATTGGTATGTTTTTCACAAAAATTATGTCTTATACAATTTTTATCGTTTGGTTTTATGTTATAACCATACTTCCAACCCGGATCACTTCTTCTAGAAAAAGTAGAAATAAATCTATTCAAATGACAAGGATTTTGTTCCTGTTTTGTTTTACAAAACTCATATAATGCTTAATCTCCTCTCTAATACCTTCAGGAACATTTGTACAATGGGCAACATCCCCCTTAATACCAGCAAGAAGTTTCTTAAACCGGTTTATGCCCCTTTGGTATCTTTTTCACAACAATTGCATCTAATGCAATTTTTGTCATTTGGATTCAGGCTATATCCATATTTCCAACCCGAATCTCCACTTCGACTAGATCCTGAAGAAAACATCTCAAAATAAAGCAAGCAATCTAAAAAATAAAGTTTTGCACTTACTTTGATTGCTCGAACTCTAAACTCCCACCTCTGAGATGTTTTCAAGTGCTAAAACAATAAAAAACACCCTACAAAAGGATTATAAAACTCCAAAACTAAATCTAATTTACATGGGTGATGTTTGGATCCATTTTTCGTAACTTTGAGAAACACTTTGATCCAATGAAAATCACAAAATTTAGTTTCTTTGAAGTTTCTTTCTTTCTAAAATGGGTTCTTGTGGGTTTAGGTTTCAAATGAACCTAAAACTCATCCTTAAAAGCCTTCATGTTTTAAAAAAAAGAAATAGAATAAAAAATAAAAAAATAAAAAATTCCACCCCTAGGCGAGGCGCAAGCCTTGGGCGGCCGCCCAGGGACTGCCACCCAGTTTGACCACCTAGGCCTGGGCGATGCGCCTAGGCCTTCTGGACCGCCTAGGCGCTGGGCAGTCCCCTTTTTTTAACACTGATTTAGATACTATATCTTACTTCATTTTACAAGTAAAATCAAGTAAGATCTTTGTGAGTCTTTAATCACGTTGATTTTACATCAACTTGATTAAACAATCTGCTTGTAAAATCAAGCATCTAAAGACTCACCAAATAAACCCATCTATTCACTAGATGGGTTGCATTTGGATTAAGCTAATAATTACTATTTAAAAGCCGTAAAAAGCTTTAAAGTTCGAATATGAACGAATATCCTTTCAACCATTGCCCATTTTGAAGAAAAACCACAGAAATGGAAAGCTGAATTTGATGGTTGATCATGTTCCTGTGGGAAAGGTCATGTTAGGCTGTCTTGCTATCACCGTAAGAAAAGTCTGTAGTGAAAGGGATGTTCGTAGAAACGAGAAAAGCAAATGCGGATGAATTGATTTGATTTTTCAAATCAGAATGAAATGGGAAAACAATTGATGGGAATAAGGATAGAAGTAGGGATGGGAGAACATGGATGGGCAAACATTACTTTGAGAAAGCCGCCATAGTGAAATCAGTAGACACGCTGCTCTTAGGAAGCAGTGCTAGAGCATCTCGGTTCGAATCCGAGTGGCGGCATCCTCAAACCCCCAAAAGGGCACAACAGATCCATCCACAACACAAATTCACAAACAAAAAATACCAACTATTCCCTAACCTGAACAATGATATTAACCATCAATATATCAAATAAGTACCCCTTCACCCCAAAAGATAATAAAGATAATAGCAATGGCAAAAATAAAACTACAAAAGAAAATAAGAAACCTTCAATGTTGAGCAAAATTACCATTTTCAGGAAATACAAGTTGACCCCAAAAAAAGAAATACAAAGTAAAAATAAGCGAAAAAATGGAAGGTGGACCAGACCTAGTCTTCTAGTGTACTAAATCAGCATAACCAGTTCAGCAGTTTCTTAATTTCCCAAGTGTAAATACTTAACCAGAGAAAACTAATAGTGCCTGAAGCGAACATTCCCAAATCCTTATCGTACTTTCTGATAAAGTTAGATGTATCAGTCTCATTGTAATCAGCATAACACTTCCAGGAAGCAGATTCCACCACAAAAAATTCCATAAAGTAATGTCAAACTATTATTTTTGGTCAGCAAGGTTAAATTTTCATTAATAGATCAAATAGAACAAGGAAAATTACAAGAGTGAAAGTAAAAACAAGAACGCAATCAATTTTGAACCCTAAATGATGAACACAATAACATATATACATAGCCACGCAAAAAAAGTAGACAATCCAAAGGACACATAGAATAAAGATATTTAAGCTCCGTAAGTACAGCTCCTGATTTCCTAATGTTTAATTAAGAAAAGAAAAAGGAACCCTGACCAGAATTTTAAAATGGAATGGACACAATTAATAGATCGCAGAAATAACATTAGACGTGTAAATTTCCCTATAAGAACTATATCAAAGAGATATACATAAAGTACGAGAAAAAAAAAATCAAAAGAAAGATAAATAATCAAAGGGAACTAACCAGTCATGGCTCAATCGAGAGGGGACATCGATCATCCACTCAGGCAACATAAGCTGCTTCGAAAACCAGTGTCGAGCTTTAGAACCTCTGAGCTTCGAGGCTTCGAGGACATCAATCCCTTTATGCGAAGAAACTTCTCCTGATTCTTCAACCACCAGTTCTTCAATCTCTTCTTGTTGAATTTCAGGTTGTGAAATTAGGGTTAGGGTCTCTTGTGGAGGAGGAGAGTTGTCAAGGAGGGCAGAGGCAAGGCGTCGGGCATGGAGCTGAGAATCCCGGCGGTTGACAGATTGGCGACGGAGAGCCAGCTCTCTTCGCTTCTGCTGATCAGAGATGCGGCAACGCTTCAAGGGCTGTCGCTCCATGGGAGCCATCCTCTCAGCAAAATATTCTAGTACCTTCAGAAATAAGAGATGCACTGTTAACAAAAGGACTTTAATCAATGAAACTTTGAAACTTCAAATGTTCATCTCACTTTGACATATGAACACCATGTAACAGCATACACAGGTCTTAATGCACCACACTCATTTAGAAAAAATCGTTTTATTACCCTTTGTGCTGAACTTTCCACACACACACTCTTGAAATGTATAGAGCTGCACCATTTTGTCCTTCCCAATGAGTTTCTTACACTCAGAAAATCACATGAACATCTTGATCAGAAACTATCTTATACAAGATCTGTATTGAAGCAGCCAGCAAGGTGAGCTAGATCACTAGCAAAAGAATGAGGCTTACAACAAAACCAAACTTGAGAAATTTAATTTTCTAAGAAAACTAAAACAAGTGGCTTTCAAGATGTAGTAAAGTTACGCAGTCAATAACCCAACTGTTATCAAAGATGTAAAACACTTAGAATGAGAACATGAAGAGGTTGAAGATAATAGTAAATACTAGATCAGAATGAGAACTTAAAGATAATAACAAATACTAGCTCATAAGAATGAGAGCTGAAATGCTTTGTTAAATTTAAGGGAATAATTTAAGAACAATAAGTACTGAGATTTTTCAGAAAGGAATCTTATAAACAGCAACTGAAATTATAACACAGGGGATCTTATGCACAGCAATGTTATGCTTTGGCTCCAAGACTACTATAGCTACCACCAAAAAAACAAAGGGGATGACCATGACTATTATACATAGCAACCGAAATTTATCCACTAAAACACAAGTCCAATAAGATACCCAACTGAAATTGATCCACAGTTGGCTCTGCCACAACCAAGACACGCAACTGTGAACATACAGAATTATTCTAATTGAAAGCCAAACTTATCAGTGGCTGCAATTACATTGAATCACTAATTAAAACCATTGAGGCAATCATTAGACTGTCAAGAACCAACTAAAACACAGGTCTAGTAAGAAATAACTGTTCAACAATTAAAATAATAACTAAAGCCAAACATATAAAAGAAACAAATAGCTTCACGAACAAATAGCTTTAACATTCTATAATTCATAGACGATCCCAAAATTAGGAAGGGAAGAGAAGGGAAATGAAATTACTGCAATCAATCAACAGCAGCCCATAGTCCCCCATCAAATGACATTGAATTTGCTCTGCACTGCCTAAGCCCATATGGATTTCGAAAAAATCATGAGAATGAAATGGAATTCAATTTAACCAAATCAGTATATGACCTTGATGAAGTTCATCACAAGTCACAAAATAAACCTTTTCCAATGAACAATGAAACATTGGATAATCTCATTTCTTGTTTTCCATGTCTATTATATATTTTTTGGAATTTTTACTATTTATGTGAACACACAATTTAAAGTTAAACTTCAAAACCCAGCAGTCCCTGTTTCTTCCAATTAAAGGTCAAGGGAATGGAGCACACAACGAAGGTTATCAAGCAAAAATCTCCCCAAAACCTGGTCAAAAGTTCAAAGCTGATATATTTATATTCACAGACGCATAAGTATGAGGAAGAAACCAATCAACAAATGCTCAAAACTAAGAAAAGGCAGAAGAAAAAAAAAAGCCTCAAAATACTGGGAAATAAACGCCATACCAACAAAAATTCCCAAGCCAAATTAGATCTCCAACCTCTCCGATCTAACAGTTGTCCCTCCTGCTCAATCTCCAGCCACCAAAGCTACACCTTTGCTAATGTGAGAGAAACACATATGACTTTTACTCATGCCATTGATCTGCAAATGCCTGAGAAAAAATGGGTCAAGAAGAGGTCGTCCGCAATAGCTCAATAGAGAGACAGTGCTGATTTAAGAGAAGGCTTTAAAGAGAGATGGGTCCAAGAAGAGGTCGTCTTATCAATTGCTCAATAGAGAGAGAGAGTGCGAGGGCTTTAGAGAGAGAAGGGTTAGGGCTTACCAATTTTCAGTTTTCGTTGTGCCTGCAAACTCTACGAGCTTGAGAGGGAGAAAAGGCAGGGAGCGTGAAGCTCTCCCCCGTACGGACAAGAAAAGATGGTAAACTCCGTGAACATCGACAAGAGGGGATTTTCAGTTCTGCAAGGCTAGACTTCATGGAAACAAAATAAAGCCTCAATACTCATCCAGATAAACACTTTCGGCATAAGAAATCTTCATCATGGCTCTAAAGTTAATTTCCAATACCACCCATCAATTTTGAAATTCAAAAAATGATACAGGTTTGCAGGACATGTGAACACTTATTTTAAGGGTTAAATAGATTATCTAGATGATTTGTCGCCATATGCACTATTTTTACAATTTAAAATCCTAATTTTTTTTGCACAACCATGATGTTTGTGTTGAGATGATCGATTTAAATGTTTTTAACACTTGAACTGCAAGGAATTATGTGGTGAGATTTGAGTTATTTTGAAAGGGTTTCAACCTATCAAACCATTTTCCTTTTTCATTTCCGATAATTATAAGGAGAGGGACAATGTTATGTGAATTGTGGTGGAAACGGCCTAAGCCTCGGACGAGCTATCCCTAGCCCTAGTTCCATAGGGCTTCCCCAGCCTTGATGGAACCAAAAAGGCCCTGGCCCTTGCATGGACCTATCCCTATTTGGACCGGGCTAGGCCAACTAAAATTAAAAATAAAACAAAGAGAAAAGCAAAGATAAGAGGGTTGGGATGGGCCAAACCGTGCTGACCTTGGCCCAAGCCCAACTCGGCTCTAGCCTCATGTCATGATTGCCCAGCCCTCGCCCGGCCCTCGGGCCACATGTTGGCCCAGGCCCTACAACGAGTAATAACGCATACAAATCAAGCACATTGCAATGGCCTCTCTGTGAAACACATTACGAAAGAATTTCAAATCAAGAATCTCACAAAAATATGGGGGATATAATTACAAAAGGACTTCAAATCCAATTACAAAATTTGCAAGAACCCCAAGCAAATAAGATTTCTACAATGTTTCAACCACTTTGTTTTGGCTGCCTAACTTCTGCTGAAACAAAAAAGAAAATTCATACACAAGAAATCCACTTGGCATGTCTTCGATTTAAATTTTTTTAGACAAGTTAAAATTTTCAAAGCCCCATGATCTAAAAAACAAGTTAAACTCTTTATTTATTACATAATGTCGTCGACATCGAAGAGCTTGCACAACAACATAAAACTCTGCCATCATAAGTAAAACACTGAGCTTTTCATTCATTTAACTTTTCGCTAAAGATGCTCACTGGCTTGCCTTCTTGGCTAAGGGCAAGCCCAATGCTAGAATCATAATCTACCTGGATAATTTTCTCAAAAATTGGGAGTGCCCAAATAGATTCATTAGTCATCTTTTATTTTAAAGTCTAAAACTTCTATGCTGCCTTGGTTTATTCAGGAAACCATTTTTTCATGCACTTGGTGATAGGTGCAATAATTATGCTGAAATTTCAAATAATCCTATAGAAAGTAGTATAACCATAAAAAACCAAGATGTGGATGCATGAAGGGGCACAAGTGGCCTTTAATGTTTCATATTAAACCTAGCCCCATCCAATATGGACGAACTAATTTTATTTTTATTTTTTATTTTATTTAAAAATTTCATTCATTTGAAATTTAGGGTGCAAATACATTTTTATACGGTACACCAAATAAAAATAATAAACAAATATTTTGAATAACAAAATTGATCAAAATACTCCTGGTATTCTGGTCATTTTTTAAAAAAAAAAAATTTTCTATTTTTATTTAATGTGTTATATACAAATGTATCTGCACCCCAAGTTTCAAAAAGATAATTTTTAAGTTATATATATATATATATATATAGTTTGTGACTTTTGGATGAGGCTTCAATTTGAATCGATGGAAGGGGTTTGTGCACCCTTCCAATGTCCACTTGTTGTGGACATGAGACTTTCCCCTAAAAATAGTAGTGAAAATCTCAATCAAGGAGTCAGAACTGCTTGGCCCTTGCAAAAAAAAAAAACTAAGGAGGTGTTTGACAACTGGATAATGGGAATGACAGTTGGAATTATTAGTTTTGAGATTTGGATGTTGGAGATTTTGAGTTTTGGACATCTGATAATGAAAACTAATATGTTTGGTTACCTGTTTAGAAATCTATAAAATTGTGTTTTCAAATAAACTTTTGTTAACATAAAAATCTAGAAATCCACCAGTTTTAACTATTCGTTATAGTTTTCATTGATGTGAAGATGATACTCGTTAAATATATGAGATATCAAATCATCTATCATTTGTGGTAGGCCTAACAAAATGGACAGTGTAAATTCACAAGTAAAATGCAACCATCCAATCTTAATCGGACGATTGAGAGCATATCTAAGCCTTCCAGTTTTCACTTTTTTTTATAAATCAAATTGTGTTAAATTTTAACGAATCTATATTTCTCACCCTTATAAATGCATTCCAATGAGGTTCCCACACCTTCAAAGTCTCATCTCAATCAGATTTTTATAAAACTAAATTCAAAATAGTTATGTCCAAACTTCTCAAGTAATGTGAAGTCCGCTTTGTCAAACATGGAACTTTTACAATGTCCCAAAAATTCTGAGTTCTCGTGCTAGGATTGTCGGTTGTCAAATGCCCCTCAATGATGTAAAAATAAAGCCCCCTTCCCAGTCTTTCTCTCTCCTTGTTGTCTCCCTTCCTATTCTTTCTTTCTTTTTCTCTCTTGATCTCATATGAGAGATTTTCAGTCAAAAGAGAGCGAGGATGGAGGAGAGAAAAGAGAGAGATAAAGAGAGAGAGGATGGGGGACAGCAAGGAGAGAGAAAGAATAGGAAGGCGTGTGAGAGCTTTAAATTACAAGTAAAAAATCCAAAATGCCCTTCTATATCTTCTGGTCTTCAGGTAATATAGGGGCAGTAAAAGTAAAAATACGGTTCACAAGATTCTCTAACTTGAACCTATGTAATTTAAGGGGTTGTTAACTTTAGAAAATCCCATATATATATATATATATATATGATCACCTTCTAGTTGATAGCTACCATGAGCAAAGAAAAAATTAAGAAAGCTCAAATTGCAAAAAATGACAAATTATGCCCATTGATAAGGTGTATTGCACCACAAAAACCAATAGAAATCGAGGTAGACTGCATCCATGAGCTTCCAAAAAGAAACCCATGTGTACAGAACTCATTCCTGTAAGATGGTCTTAAAAATCCAACCAAAGAAAAATGAATTTTCAAAAGGTATAACAAAATCAACTAAAAGAGGCGGCATCTCACCTAGATGGGTTGTACTTAGACTAAGCGAATAATTACTATTTACAAGCTGTAAAAAGCTTTAAAGTTGGAATATGAATGAATATTCTTTCAACCATAGTGTCCATTATGAAGAAAAACCATAAAAATGGAAAGCTAAATTTGATGGTTGATCATGTTCCTTGGGGAAATGCCATGTTAGGCTGTCTTGCTATCACTGTAAGAAAAGGAAATGCAAATAAATTGATTTGATTTTTCAAATCCGAAAGAATTTGGAAAGCAAGGGATGGGAATAAGGATAGAAGTGGGGATGGGAGCTCGAAATGACTTATTACGGAGTAGGGTAAATTCAAATTTGATGTGTCATAATTAGAAACTAATGAGGGAGAATTTCTATCCATCTATATAGATACATACCACTATATTCTTAATACGACCCTCACCTCAAATCTTGACGATTGAACATGGACAGACAAATATTACTTCTAGAAAGCCAGTACAGTAAAAATCGGTAGACACTTTGCTCTTAGGAAGCAATGCTAGAGCATCTCGGTTCGAATCTGAGTGGCAGCATAAAGGGATACAATAGATCCATCCACAACACAAATCCACAAACAAAAAATAACCAACTATTTTCTAACCTAAATAATGATAGTAACCATCAATATATCAAATAAGTGTTAGAAAATATTCCTAATTTGTGGTCTAGTAATAATATAAAAAGGTAACATTATCCATAATTTAAGTGAGTTAGTTGTCCAATATTTAAATAAAGATTATTGATAACCATCTCCCCCACTCTTTCTTAAAGATAGTTATCTATGATGGTTTAGGGTTAAGAAAAAGAAAACGATATAAGGTGACAGTCCCAGCTCTCGCTCATTCTCCATAAAAAAGTTTCTATCAAGCTTGGAGGAGAAAAGATGTGAGGGCCGATCCACCCATTCAGAGATCAGAACAAAAAGCCATTTCCTTTTTTTGCTAGATCATGGTAGGTATGCGTAGATCTGTTCATTTATATTCTTGTTTTTCGGCAATCACAAACAACGATCCAACATAAATTTACATGCTTTTTAGGATTCTTAAATCTGTAGTTTAGTTTTTACATGTGGTATTAGAGTTGTGGTTTGCCTGTTCATGGATATCGAAAACCATAAAGTTTTCATATGGGCAACTTTTCTTTCATGACGGTCGACACAGGGCGTTAGTTTCGCTTTCTATTTTTTTGTTTGATTCTTTTCTTCTATCTCTCTCTCTCTCTCTC